TATTTATTTTTTTGAAAACCAAAAACAAAATATTTTCAATATCAATGGCCCAATTCAAACGAGATTATTTGTTCTGGTCTTACAAAGCAGCTTTTAGGCATTTTCGGTGAGGAGAGTAGTTTTTGGTTGGACTAAAATTGCATCCAGCTTCAACCCGGCATTTGCAGGACAAATCTAATACATGCATACTCATGAAAACAAAATAAATGACAATACTAACACACAAAGATGTGTATACATATTCAATTTAAGACAGTTTCATTAGTCTCGTATGTTTTGAAAGGAAAAATATTGTTTGGGCTAAAAATTACTCTCGTGTGAATTGGGCCAATGATTGGAAGAAACGTACATTGCAGGGTGCGGGTTAAATGTAATAACCATTTTTGCCATGGAATTTAAAGATTAAATAGTTTGGATCATATTTTTGAAAGAAAATTTAGACATTTCATTCATCTTTCGCGCGTTTTTAATTCATTTTAAAAATGAGGAAAAATATCAAATTGATGAAAACAACTTGTTGCGTATAATTTTGAAAAATTCTTACAGGACGCGGACATAGCCTCACGGCTGTAATTCTGTAGTTTTACGAAGCTGTTCTATCTCATTTTTGTACAATATTCCTTTGTAAGAACGAATCCTTCAAGCAACCCTCAATCACTATTCAAGCCTACTAATTGCTGTCAGTGTCTGTATCTTTAAGCTGGTCAAATAGCAATGCGCAATGACTCATTACTACTGAAAATATTGGTTAGGTTGAGACTAAAAACATAATCAGGGCTGAGTACGGTAAATTTTCATACATTTATCATTTATTTATTTATATTCGCTCTTTAAAAAAGATACTTATGTTATAAAATCCCATTTTCCTCAGCGGTATTTGGAGATGTCGAGCAATTGCAAATAATACGTGAAAATGCTTTGCTTGAATTACTGGCATCTGTTTTGGAGAAAATGCCAACACCAAGAAAAATATATAATTTTTTTGAAGATTTTTCCTTCAGAAACAATCACTTTGCTTTTAAGACTTTCGTTTTCTTGCTCGAGGGAACGATCTTTGTCTTGAAGAAAGCCGTTTTCATTTCTTAGGGGAGAAAACCTTTAGGCATACTTCATTTTGTCATTTTCGAAAACATAATAGACTATATTACACAATGCGGTTTGTTTTTCTTTTACCACGAAAAAAACTTTCCGCAGAGTCAGCTTTGGTGTTGAAGTATTACGTTTCTTCCTATTATTATAACAAGTAAAAAAGCTGTAAGTTCAGCCGGGCCGAACTTTTAATACCCTCCACCATTTGGTACAAATTTGACCATTAAAATTAAATAAAATAAAAACCGTTAAAAATTCTGTCAAAATCTTAAAATTTCGGAATGCCTATACGACGACATGGACCTGCATAGGCAACTTTTGTCATAAGTTATTACAATATTTAAATGCGAAACTTGAAGAAAAATCTATTTATAATGTAGCTAATCATCAAAATACCGAATATCGGGGGGTACCGTTATATAGAGGCTATACGAAGACGTGGATCTACATAGATTATTTTCTGTGTTAGGCTGTAGTGTTCATTACGAACTTCAAATGCCAAGTTAGAAACAATTCCGGTGAATAATGTCGCTAAAATCATCAAAATACCGAATATCGGGAGGTACCGTTATATGGGGGTTATATGATAACTTAGACCTACATGGCCCATTTACGAACTTAACCTGCCTACTGGCAAAATATACATGTGTGCAATATTTTAGCCTTCTATCTCAATTTGTTTGAAAGATAGCGTGATTACAACAGACAGACGGACAGACAGACACACAGACGGACATGGCTAAATCGTCTTAGAATTTTACGCTGATCAAGAATATATATGCTTTGTTGGGTCTGACATGAGTATTTCGAGGAGTTACAAACGGAATGACAAAATTAATATACCCTCCATAGTATGGTGGAGTGTATAAAAAAGTGAATATCTAATGCACATTGAAAAAAATAGTTATTTTTTTAGCTTCTATTAATTTAGCATTCATTAAACTAAAGTTTAGTTTAGTATGCCAACATGTTTATTGGTTTCCTTTTCTGCTTTACACGTCCACGATGTTTTACCAAAAACCTAGATGCACATTTTTTAACATGCAAAATGTCGATATTTTAGCTTCATCCGCTTCGCCTGGGTCTTGATGTTCAGTGGGGTCAGACATTCTTATAAAGAGCCTACGTATCGACACCCACTCACTTTATTACTTTAAATGTAATTACGATCGAAGATGAATTTAAAACTTGTATAACTTAAGCGTAGTGGAAATTATTCCATCCAGTGATCCAGTGTTTATAACTTTAAATGCAAAGATCGAAAAATATGGACTAAAAAGCCTAAAAACAGTATTAATGAATAATTTGAAGTGGTTGGAAATGGGGGAGTAGTGTAATTTTTAATCTCTTTATTTATTATATATTTCAGTCTTTTCGAAATATGATATGACTTACTACTTTGATTCAATGGCATTGATATCACAAATATATTTTAAATATAGCCCGACCCGATTTGAAATAATATAAAATATAATTTTCAAACATCTACTTGCATTTATCAATTGTCATATCTGTCGTCTCCACATTTACGGTGTTCAAGGCAAGTGGAGTTGGCACATGCATGCAAAGTACTACTGTCGATAGCAGTACCTGTTTGCTTCAGAATGTTTTTTGTAAATTTTGGATCCATTGTTTATGGCCATTCTATAAAGTTCCTGAAAAATGGACAACCTTGCATGCAGTAAAAAATGCATACAGCATGCAAAGTAATATTTTTTCTGCCATGTATCGAATTTACGCACCCTGGTATACATCTTGGATGATACATATCTAGAAACAAATATAAAAATCCAATATCCACGTCCCATACCATATTTAAAACATTCGGTATTTTTTTTAGCGACATTATTCACCGGAATTGTTTTAAATTCGTACCGGAGACTACAGCCTAAGACAGAAAATTGTCTGTGCACGTCCACGTCTTCGCGTAGCCCCCGTATAACGGTACCTCCCGTTATTCGGTATTTTGATGATTTTATCTACATTATTACCGATTTTTTTTAAGTTTCATTGGTCGTTTGAAGGCCATAATTCGAGCCAAAGGTGACCAATTCGAACAAATCTAATCTAAACTATTCTAAAATTTGATGCCATTTCTAACATTTTTGCTTTCATTCACAAAAATTAAAAAAAAATGTAAAAATAATGGCGTTTGACTTTGCTGCAATTTTTATCTGACCCTGTATAGCCCCCATATAACGGTACCTCCCGATATTCGGTACTTTGATGATTTTAGGGATATTATTCACCGGAATTGTTTCAAATTTGGTAATTGAACTTCGTAGTGTAAACTACAGCCTAAGACAGAATATTGTCTGTGTAGGTCCACGTCTTCGTATGTCCCGCATATAACGGTACCTCCCGATATTCGGTATTTTGATGATTCTAGCGACATTATTCACCGGAATTGTTTCAAATTTGGTATTTGAAGTTCGTAACAGAGACTACAGCCTAAGACAGAAAATTGTCTGTGCACGTCCACGTCTTCGCGTAGCCCCCATATAACGGTACTTCCCGATATTCGGTATTTTGATGATTTTATCTACATTATTACCGATTTTTTTTAAGTTTCGCATCTAAACATCCTAATGGCTTGTTACAAATGGTACCTATGCAGGTCCACGTCGTCGTATAGAACCTAATATAACAGCTACATTTGGTATTTTTAAGATTTTAACAGAATATTTAACGGATTTTATTGTTTTTGAGAATTGCTAAATTCGATTCAAATGGTGAAATTACAGCTTTTTTACTTGTTTTTATCTCACCCATGTCCACGTTTTTGTATAGCCCCATATAGCGGTACCTCCCGATATTCGGTATTTTAACGATTTTTGCCACATCTGTCTAAAAATGTGTATTTGTAGTTCATAATGGGATCTAGTTCCGATGGTCCCCGTTTTTTCTATAGCGCAAATATAATGGTATCCAGCGATATTTGGTATTTTAATAATCCTCATTTACCCACAAAATTGTTTCAAATTTTGTATTAAAGACTGGTTAATAGACGACAATCCTTGGAGTACAAAATTGTCCGTTTTGGTATGGTCCCATATGATGGCTTCACCCGCTTTAAATTCCCATTACCTTAATAAAAAATGCGCTTTATTTTTTTTTCATAATTTTTTATTATCGCTTTTTCGTTTTAAACAGAATGTTTATATATAAAAAAATTAAAATACAATTTATTGTTTTTGTTATTATTAAAATTATTTTTAGTGGTTCTTTTTGTTATAACTAATTAAAAAACGCTACATTTTTATGGTGGCGTTCTGTTTCTGTTTCGTTCAAATTATTTTTTGTTAGTTTTTTTTTTGTAATATTCGCACATAATTAATTAATATCTACAATTGCAGGCAATATAAAATATAATTAATAATAATTTTATATACTTTTTTTTTTGTTTATAAAAGCAGTTTTTCATTGACATAAGTTGTTGGTGTTTTAATTAAATAGAATACTAATAGAATTTCGGAGGGGAGGGGGGGGGGGAGTATAAAATAAACAAGAGCTGTTTAAAATGGGCTAGGTTGGGCGTATTGGAAATAATAAATATATTTATATGTATATAAAAAATTGATATATAAAAATACTAATAACCTATAAAATTTAGAGGAAAGACCTTACTTAATAAGCTAAAATTAGGTATATATGTTGAAAAGGCTAGTTTGCAAGTAAAGAAAACTTTACACAAAAAATATGAAGGAAATCAATGAAAAGAAAGAAAAAAAGTGATGCCAACTTAAGCTCAAGTGATTGAAAACAAAAGTTTAAATAAATAATAATTGAGTAAAGTTGTTTTTTTTTTCAAAAATAAGCTCTAACAGATTATGTACAACGACTACACTTTTCTTGCAATGAAGCCAGTTGCAGTTCATAATCGATTTAAAGGAGTTGTTGTTTTTGTTGTCTTTCTACATTTATAAAATTCTCTTATATTTATTAGGTTTTTTTTTTTAATTATTATTTAATACTATTCTGTTGTTTTTTTTTTTTTTTGTTCTTGTCTATGTAAAGTACTTGCTTTTTCAATCAGTCGAGCATTAGTTTTCAGATTTTTCGTTTTGTATAAAAATTGAATTTTCTTTGTTTTCTAAGTTTCCTTATTTTCTTGTTTGTTTATTTATTTATTTAATGTGTACAAAAAAACGGGGAGTTTGTTTGCAGTGAGGACAATTGGGGAGATTGCATTTGAAGTTAGGAGTTCGGTTTAGTTAACTAGCTTATCAAAACTACTACGTTTACACCTAACACTTACACAAATCTCTTTCTTATCCAACTACTGATACGTCTAGTTTAAAATGGTTTCATTATAAAAATTTTTCAGTTTCCGTTTAATAAAAAAACACTACTATTATTTCTATGGGTTTCCTTTTTTCGATTGAGAGTTTACATTGAATATGTGTAAATTCCTAGTTAAAATTGGATTTTCTTTATCAGGATTTTGGATACAATTATGAGGTTTCAGGGAAGATGTTTTTTTGGAATAAAAGGGAAAAGACAATATGTAAATCGATGTAATTGATTCATATCTGCATAATTACACAGAACCTGGAAAAAATTATGATCCCTGTCTTTCCATCTTTTTGGGGTTTATATTGTTTGCTATTTTTATTATTATTATTATGTTTGTTGTTGCTCTTTTATTATTATAATTTATAAAAAAGAGAAGACTAGAAGCAACAGTTTTGTTTTGCATTAAAAAATCATATATAAAAATATTGTTTAAATATTATAAATTTTATATAAAAAAATGAAAGAACTTAATTCTAAAGTATAAAAAAACAGAATAAAGAAGATCGCGTTGGAAGTACAAAAAGATTATAAAAAACCGGAAATACAGTTTACATAAGTATAAAAAAGTTAATTTATTAGAATCCTCAAAACAGTCGTAATACTATTCTTTACACCAAAGGTTGAGCGAGTTAAAAAAGTGGATTTTAGTTAAGCGGTATATGAGTCTCTATTGAAGGGTTTTAACTAAAATACATTTTTTGGTCGTTCTACCCAGGATAAAAAACCATGTTACAAGTGTTCAAAAGTTGGATTCTAAACTTAAATTACAAATAAATGTATATTAGAAATTGATTAAAGCGGTTAAATAATGATGCAGAATCAATGCCATCACCGTGTATGGCAAATCTAATAATCATGGGCATTATTGGGTTAATTTTATTTATCGATTACCTGATAATGCCAATGAAATCAGAGTTTCCATACACATGATGACAATTTATTTGCATTTTATATGTATGTGCGTATTTGTTTACTTTTCACTTAATTAATTGTACCTATACTAAGTATAAAGTACAATATCACTGGTTGCTTTTCACAAGCTAATTCAAGTATTTTTAATTTTTTTAATTATTTTTTTTTTTCTTTTTTGGCAAAGGAGAATGTTTTTCGAAAGAAAATCAAAATAATATTTTTTTTATTTTAAAAATATTCTGTCTTTCTCCTTAGAGTTTTTTTTTTGCTTCCATCATTTAATATTGGCACCAATTCATAATTATATCTGTATTTTTTAACCGGTTTGTGGCTAGACTAACATATACGTAAGTGAAATTAGAGTGGAAGTCGTAGGACAGTAGGCTCAGTGTAAAAGGTGTTTGAAGTTATACAGTAAGAGCAATGAAAAGTATATAGTTGCTTGTTTCATTTTTTTTTGTTGGTTTCCGTATTTTTTGTTTTTTTTCGTTTTGTAACTGTTACTTAAATTTAATGTTTTATATAAAAAAATAATTTTAATAATTAGTTTAAATTATCATGGCTAGGGGTTCATCTTTTGCGACCAGCCGCTACAACAGCCATCACTTGTTGCATAGTTGGTTCAGGAACACAGGCCTGAGGATCACATTTCATTTTACCATCACCGCCGCATCTGTAATGAAAATAAAGGAATGGAGAAAGCGGGAAAGAGAGAAAGCGGGGAAAATGCAGGTTAGATCAATCTCTTCAATTATAGGATAAAATTCAATGAATAAATTCTCAATATTTGGAAAAAATCTTCAAATCAATTATTCTGATTATCGTTGTTTGCAAAATGGTCAGGCTTAATCAATTTATTGTTGTTTTTTAAAAAAACAACGTTTGTTTAGTAGTAAACATTACCATCGTTCTCCACTAATAATCAAACGATGTTTTTTTATAAAAACAACAATAAAGGATTATCTTGATTTATGGTTAAGACAAAAGTCGATCTTCACATCCCTAATTTATTCCACGTGTGCGCTTTACATCACTCCATTTATTTAATGAGAAAATATAAATTTATATCAAAAATAAATAGGTTAGGTTGAAAAGAGAGGCACTTAAGCCAGTATAGGCCTGTTGTGCGATCCAGACTAAGAGGTTTCTGAAATCAGACAGACAGTTACAGTCCATTATATTTGAAATTCAGTTGCATTAACAAAATTCCTTAACTGTTTTATTTCATTTACCATGACCTGATATAGGTCTGGACTGGAGTCTTTCCCTTAAAATTTGGGTGCTGATATTTGCAAAAGCTGGGCATTGGCAGAGAAAATGCTCCAAAGTTTCAAAATCTTCCCCGCATGCCCAGTATATGCTGTTATCTGCACAACCTATCTATCTACAGATGAGCTTGTGACCCATAAGGATGTCAGTGTTACCCCACTAATCATCTCTATCTTGTCTAATAATAGAAGGTTCTCAAAATAATGAATTTTAATGCTTTTCCTTATCCCCTCAAAGTGATAGTAGCACATTATAAAACTTGATCGTAGCTAAATTCATCTCAATGTTGTAATTAAAATGTAAAGCATACTTCTAGGCATATTACAATTAGTTGTGCTTGTTGTTTAAAGATTTTTTTTGCGATAAAACATTTAATGTAATTAACGTGCATTCATTTCGATAACTTCTATGGGACAAGATCAAATTGAGCGCAAAACGTAACCTACGTTTAATTTGTAACAACTCCCAAACGTTGTCCCTCTTTGGGGTTATATTTTATACTTTCATCATTGCATTCTTTAAGCGCTATAGAAATATGCCAGGCAAACTTTGTTAAGCGTTTCCTTTTTTTTTTTTGATGATTCAGTCACCATATCTTCAAATTCGATACAAAATGTCTACTTACGTGCAATTAATGCATGGACCACTTGTCGACTCAATCCTTTCACCCACACTGTATGAACGTCCATTGATGAGACAACCATTACGCTGAACATTATTACCATACGAATGATGTAGGAAATGTGGTGGTAGTGTGGTACTTGTCGTCGTTGTGCTGGTGGTGATATTGAGTACAGTTGCCATTGAGACGGGGCATTCGTAACGTGGACAACAGAATCCAGAAATGGGCTCCTCGTGACAGCCGGCAATTGGTGGTGGGCAAGATTGTTGCAAGCAAATAATATCGCTGCGGAAGCAGAAACAGAAATCGCAAGGATCGTCGCGTGGTATTTGTTGGGCGGAAACGTAAAGTTTGCCACCGTAACGGCAAGTGCCAGGACCAAAGATTTCCGTATCTTCTTCATCGGTATATTCGTCTTCGTATTGAGGTGGATATTGTGGCGCTTGTCCATAAATTGGTGGTGGATAATGAGCAGCGGGATGTGTAGGTACGGTAACGGGCACCGGTGTTGTTGTGCTGGTGGTTGTTGTTGCCGCTGTTGTGGTATATGCAGATTCTTCGACATCGACTTCCTTGACAGGAACCATTGTGGCTTCTTCGCTGCTAGTGGCATTCTGAGCCTCATCATAGCGACTATCAATGACTGGTGGTGGAAGTGTTGTGATGCCATGGTGTGCGAACAGTGGGTGAACAGTTGTGGTGCGTGGTACTTCATCGCTTTCAGCCGATTCAGCTGAGGTAGATTCTTCTGAAGAATCTCCTTCAATTTCATGAGCAGCAGGTTCAGATTCGATGGCCTGTCCCACTGTTGAAGCGTCATGGGCCACAGCTGGCAGTTCTGTAATTTGTTCGTCGTGTTTAACTGGCACTGCCATGGTGGAAGATTCCTCGGTAATGTTTTCTTCAGTCTTATCGTGCTCAACTTCTGTAACGGCAGATTCTTCATATTCATCAGCTTGTTGCAGTGGTGTCTTGACAGTCGATGCCTCAACCTCTTCCTCCTCTTCAGATTCAACAGCGTGAGGAGCTTGGGTAACGCCAGCTGCAATATCAACATCTTGTGCACTGGAGGTTTCAATGGTTTCGGGGGCTTTGGTAACAACGGATACATCTTCATCAGTCTTGTGTGTAATGCTTTCAAGTTCTGCTTCAGACTCAGGAGCAACGGTAGTATCATCGGCATGTGATTCAACAGTAGGTACTCCCTCAGGTTTCTCCTGGTGGACGACTGGTGCCTTGGTAGCAGTTGAAATTTCTTCGCTAACGGAGTCAGCAGTTTCAGGAGTTGTGGTAACAGCTGATTCTTCTTCGCCTTCTGGTTGTGCAGTAGCAGCCGAAACAGGAGCAATTGTAACCTCTTCACCAATAAATTCAGGAGCCTTTGTGCCGGCGGAAACATCTCCTTCAGCAACAGTTTCGGGAATGATTGTAGCAACTTCAATTCCTTCTTCTGGATGAGCAGTAATGGATTCTACAGCTTCAACAGATTCAGGAGCAGTGGAAACTTGTTCTTCAGATTCTTCACCAGATTGTGAGATTTCGGCAGCAGAATCGGTAACATGATCAACAGCTGTAGCATGAGTGGTGACATCTTCTGATACTGGAGAAACATCTTCAGCCAATTCAGGAGTCTTGGTAACAGCTGCAGTTTCTTCTTCAGAAGTTTGAACAGTAGCGACCTCAGCTTCTTCTGTGGGTTGTGGTGTAGCAGCGACTTCAGCATCTTCAGTAATATGTGGAACCATTGTGGTAGCACTGACATCAGCAACACCTTGAGAAGTAGAGCCTTCTTCAGTTGCAGGAGCTTCGGTAACACCAGCCATATCTTCTTCTTTTTCATGGGCCAATTCAGCATCAACAGAGGTTTCAGGTTCTTTGGTAGCAATTTCTTCAGATTCTGAAACAGATGCAGGAGATGTGGTATACTCTTCAGATTCCTCAGAAGTAGCGCCTTCTGTGGCAGCAGATTCGGGAGCTTTGGTAACAGCAGATTCGGTAGACATTTCAGCTGCTTCTTCAAGTTCGGGAGTCTTAGCTGTGCTGGCTTCAACAGATTCAGGTTCTTGTTCATGTTCTGGAATCTTAGTAACGGTGTCCATATCTTCAGCAGGCTGCTCAACAACGGTGGAAGTTGTAGGACCAGCAATATCTTCTGAGGGTAGTGCTGTGCTGACTTCGGAGACTTCGGCGGAGGTTTCTTCAGATTGTTCTGTTGTGGGAGCCTTAGTAACACTGATTTCTTCACCTTCCTGTGCTTGTTCGACGGCAGATTCGGTGGCAGCGGCAACATCTTCTTGAGATTCCTCAACACTTTGGCTTTCGGGAGCAATTGTAACACTGGAAACATCATCTTCAGTTGATGCAGCGGGGCCAGAAATGTCATCATGCTCAACACTGTCAGGAGCTTTGGTTACATCGGACGAAATCTCGACATCAGATGATTCTGTGGCGGCCGATTGTTCTGTAGTTTCTTCAGCACCAGCAACTGGTAATTCAGTAGCAGCAGCATGATCTTCTTCTTCTGGCTCGTGTTGTTTATCAGATGTGCTCTCAACAGATTCCGGAGCTTGAGTAGCAGTAGCAATATCATGATCAATCGGCAATGAAGTGGAGCCAGCAACATCTTCAACAGCTGGAATTTGAGTAGAACTTTCAACACGTTCGACATCCATTGCTTCATCGGAGGTCGTTTCTTCAGTTTCTTCTGGAAGTTTAGGAGCAGATGTGACACCTGCAACATCAATATCTTCAGGAAGTTTAGCAGTGGCTGTCTCGACATCTTCAACGGGAGTGGCTTCGGTAATTCCAACATGTTCATCATCTTCAACTTTGGGTACATCAGGTTTGCTTGTAACTTCAGATTCAATTTCTCCTTCTTGTTCTTCGGAGGAAGTATCCTTTTCGCCTTCTCCTTCTTCTTCGTCGGTACTTGTGATGGTGGATTGTTCAACTGGTTTGCCTGTGATTTCTTCAACACGTTCTGTAACGAAGGCGCCAATATGTTGTGGTAGAGTGGGCATAACTTCTTCTTCAGATTCCACAGATTCACCGGAAGCTTCTTCAGACAGATCCAATGTTGGATGTTGTTGTTGGGTTGGTGCTGCAGATGTAATATGTTGAACTTCTTCTTCTTGTTCTTCGCCTTCAGTTGGAGCCATGGTGGTAGTAGATGTGGCTTCAACCTTATCAGCAGATTCTTCAACGCCTGGCATTGCGGTGGCGGATTCTTCTTCCAAAGAAGGAGCCACAGTATGAGCCATAGATGGTTCAAGTTCTTGCTTATCTTCTTCAATCGAAGGAATGGTAACGGAAGCAACTTCACTAATTTCTTGTTCTTTGTCCGAGGCTTGAGTGACAGACTCAACATCGCCAGATACAGCAGCCATTGTGGTTTCATCGCTTTCATCAGTTGACAGCTTGTGAATACCATCTTCAACGGCAGTGGTATCCTCTGCATGTTCTTCAATTGATGAAGCGGTTGTGGGAGCCACACTACTAGATTCTTCTTTTTCTGCTTCTTCAACAGCGGACGCGGTTGTAGGAGCAGCAGTGCTGGATTCTTCATCTCCGGTTTCTTCAACTGATGAAGCGGTTGTTGGGGCCACGGAACTGGATTGTTCCTCTTCGGTTTCTTCTGCGGATGCTGAGACAGCTTCTCCTTGTTCTTCGGAAGATTTGTCAGTAGTTGAGGGCACGACATCTTCTTGTTCTTCTTCTGGTTTGCTGGTTTGTACTTCACCCATTGTAGGAACTTGAGTGGCTTGTTCTGATGTGGTATCAATTTTAATTCCAAATTCAGTTGGTTCTTGGGTAGCACTCTCATCAATTCCAATTGGTGTAGCAGTAACATGTTCCTCATCTTCTTCAATGGTGGGTACTGCAGCAGTTTGAGTTTCTTTTTCTTCTTCACCCGTTGGTACCGAAGTAATTTCTTCTGGACTGTATTCATCTGATGATACCATAGGTCCAACAGTATGGGCTTCTTCTTCTTCTTCGTCTTGAGATTCAATGCTTTGAATTGTAACGGGCTCTTGTGGTTCTGCAGCACTAACTGGACTTGTGGTAGTGGATGTTTCCTTTGTCACATCATCTTCGGCATGTGCAATACCGGTAGCGGTCTCTTCGATAACTGGAGCTGCTGTTGTGCCTTCGGCGGCTTCAGAAGGTGTTTCATCGTGATGTGGAGCAACAGTATGTTCATCAGATTCAACAACGTCCTTTTCAATGGCAGCTGAAGTAGTCTCTTCGGCCGACTCTTCACTTGATGAAGTCTGATCAACTTCGACAGCAGGGGCAACTGTAGAGGTAGCAGGTATTTGTTCATGGACTTCAGTTTCATCCAAAGGTTTTTCACTTTCAATGTCCGTGGCAGCAGTTTGGCCTTCAGTTTCAACTGTAACTGGAGCCATGGTAGAAGATACTTCATCAAGAGAGGATGGTGCAGCGGTAGTGCGTGTAACATCAACTTCGCCAGATTCTTCAAAGGTTTGTTTATCTTCTTCTTCTCCTTGTTCGTCCTTGGAAATTGTGCTAACTGTTGAGAGTTCGGCTTCTTCTGTAGAGGGAGTAGCGGCAGCTGGTTCTTCCGATATTTTCTCAGTGACAGCTGGTAGTTCAGTAGACATATCAGTTTCCTTATCGGCAGCTTGGGGAGCAACGGTATGAACTTCTTCTTCCTCGGTTGTTGCTGGTTCTCCGGAGCCTTCTTCACTTTCTGTGTCAACCATTGTAGCAGGAACATGAGTTTGGGCTTCCATCTCCTTATCCTCAGTTGTTGGTTGAACTGTAGCAGATTCAACTTCAGTATCAGAAACATCTTTGTGCTCTTCTTCTTGCTGCTCAGTAGCTGCTGTAGATGATGGAACATGAACATCGATTTCTTCAGGGGTTTCTTCTTCCTTCGAAACTGTAGAGCTTGGGAATTCCTCACCAACCATGGGTTGCACGGTGTGGTCGAAAGCTTCTTCGCTATGATCTTCATCCTCTTCCGACTCAATGGGTTTAACGGTTTGATATTCATCACTTGAGGGTACAATTGGTGCCATTTCCATGTCAGTAACTGTGGGCATTACTTCCTCTGGTTGAATTTCGGCAGGCATTTCTGGTTTCACATCAGCACCAGCTTCCACTGGAACCATGGATTCTGGTTTGACCGCATCTTCAACAATGGCTGATTGGGTAGATGGCTCTTGGATATCAACCAAAACATCAGATTTGTCATCGGCAACAGTTTCAGTAGGAGCTTTGGTTGTGTGTTCTGCACCTTCTTGTTCTTCTTCCTCGGTCTCCTTAATGTGTGACATAGGTTCTTCAGTGCTAGCAATGGGCATTTCGATTTCAGGAATACTAACAATGGTAGCTGTTTCTTCATCAGTCTTTTCGGGTGTTTTATGCGGAGCAGAGGTAGTTGTGGCGAATTCTTCTTCAGAGCTTTCATCAGCCTTAGTAGGAATGCTATCAATGCCGCAAATGTAGGTAGGACAACATTTGTTACTGCTATTTTCATCCAGGACACATTTCTCAATGTCTTCGGGAACTTCGCAGACAACACGTTCACAGGAAACAATACTGCTAACGCATTTGCAGGAGATTTCACATTCATCAGCTGTGGGAATGATGGAGTTATTGGCATAGGTCTTATGACCAACCAAGCAATCACCTTCGCCGGGAATGATGGATGGAATTTGCATATCGTGCATGTCTTCAATGGATACATCTTCTGTAGAGGGTTTAAGGGTAGTAGAGGTAAGTTCCTTCTCTTCATCTGTAACATCTGAGATTGAGGCAACTGTTGTTTCGGAGACTCCTTGTTGAGCTTCAGTTTTGGTTTCCTCATCGGATGGCAGGCCAGTGAAGTCCTCGATAATGACCATGGGACTGTCAGTAGGTTTAGCCTGTTCATGTTCTGGAAGCTCTTCAACTTTGTGCTCGTCTGTTTCGGGAATGACTTCTTGTTGTTCACCTTCAAGGGATTCGACAGCTGGCAATACAGTGGTTGTCGATGTTGGTTCTTCAGCTTCACTAGTTTCAGGTTTGGTCTTATCTTCCTCACTCGAAGCCTCTTCAGATGAATCCTTATCAGCCTCGACAGCAGCAGTTGTGGGTGTGATTTCAACAGCTGGTGCTTGAGTGGTGACTTCAGCTTGAGCTTCTTCTCCTTCCTTGTCGGCAATAGAACCAACAGTGGTAAGGTCAACTTGTTCTTCAGGTGCAGATTCTGTCTTTTGATCAAGGCTTGATTGGGTGGCGGTTTCAACGGGAACTTCGGATCTAATAGTTGTGACTTCCTCAGCAGATTCAGTTTGCTCTTCGGAACTTTCTTCGGCAGAAGATGGTTCTTTTTGTTCGCCTTCTTCTGGTTGCACGGCATCGGTATCAATCTTGTGTGTTGTGACCGATTCAAGGAATCCTTCTGGTTTGTCAGTGCTGATTTCCTCTTCTTCTTCCTCATGAATACGTTCGGTAACGGCTGGTTTCACTTCTTCTTCAGCAGATTCGGTAGTAGCAAAATCACCACTGCCCAACTCACTGGAAGGAACAGATGTTGATTCTTCGGATGTTTCTTCATCGGCATGTACGGGAGGTATATATGTTGGAGCCATTGTGCTGGGAACACTTGGTTTGCTGTCTCCAGAAGCTTCTTCAACATCTTTTTCAGTGCTAACAGATTCTGTAATGGCTTCGGTATCTGTGACCTTTTCAGGCTCTTGTTCCGCAGGTAGTTCTGTGGCCAATTTGTCGGGAGATTCTGATGATTCTGTGCTTGCTTGTTCTTTATCTTCTTCAGCCGACATTTCTGTTGACAACTCAGCTTCTTTTTCGGGTATTTTAGTTGAGGTCTCATCAATTTTAACAGGAGCAATGGTAGTGGTATCTTCTTTCTCTTCGGATGGTTTAACATCATGTTCATCTCCAGCCTGGGGTTCTTCAACTTCGGCGACAGGCGATTTGGTGTGATCTTCGCTTGATTCTTCTGGACTTTCTGGTTTAGGCTCTTCGGAAACTTCCTCACCAGATACTGGGACAATTGTAACCATTTCTTGTTCTTCTTCTGGCAATGGAGCTTTAGTGGAAACTTCAGTTTCTTTAACTTCTTCTTCATCCTTGGCAATCTCAGAGGATTCATCAATTTCGGTTATATGAGATTCGGTATCCATGGCTGTAGGTATATGAGTAACACCTTCTTCACTTTCACTTGGTACTTCAGGTTGTTCTCCAACTGTAGGTACCTTGGTGGTTGTGTCAACAGAACCAGTAACATCACTGACAGTAGGTTCTTCCACAGACTCAGTTGAAACTTCAGAGGGTTCTTCACCAACGACGGGAGTTTTAGTGACCATTTCTTCAGCAGTAGTGCCGGAAGGCATTTGGGTAACTTCCCCTTCGGTAATCGGAGCTTTGGTTGCCAATTCTTCGGTAGTTTTAGATGGTGCAACGGGTTGTTCTTCGGCAGCAGGAGTCTCAGTTGACAAATCATCAACACCAGTTTCTTCTTCACCAGCCACAGGAGCTTTGGTAGCGAGTTCGTCAACAGCTTCAGAAGACATATCGACATGCTCTGCATCTTCGGCGATTGGAGCTTTGGTTGAGATATCCTCAGCAGTTTCTGAAGATACATCAACATGCTCATCAGCAGCAGGAGCTTTAGTGGAGAGTTCATCCACAGCTTCTGTAGATACATCAGTTTCTTCGGCAGCGATTGGAGATTTGGTGGCCAATTCATCGGCAATTTCGGTAGACATTTCTTCTTCAGTGACTGGAGCTTTGGTGGCCAATTCATCACCGGTCTCAGCTTCCTCAGCGACTGGAGCTTTGGTGGCCAATTCATCAGCGGTCTCAGCTTCTTCAGCAACAGGAGCTTTGGTGGCCAATTCATCAGTGGACACACCTTCGTCAGCAACTGGAGCCTTGGTAGCCAATTCATCAGAGGTATCAGATTCTTCAGCAACAGGAGCTTTGGTGGCCAATTCATCACCGGTCTCAGCTTCTTCAGCGACTGGAGCTTTGGTGGCCAATTCCTCAGCGGTCTCAGCTTCTTCAGCAACGGGAGCTTTAGTGGCCAATTCATCAGTGGACATACCTTCGTCAGCAACTGGAGCCTTGGTAGCCAATTCATCAGAGGTATCAGATTCTTCAGCAACAGGAGCTTTGGTGGCCAATTCATCACCGGTCTCAGCTTCTTCAGCGACTGGAGCTTTGGTGGCCAATTCCTCAGCGGTCTCAGCTTCTTCAGCAACGGGAGCTTTAGTGGCCAATTCATCAGTGGACATACCTTCGTCAGCAACTGGAGCCTTGGTAGCCAATTCATCGATGATTTCAGTAGACACACCTTCTTCAGCGAGTGGAGCTTTAGTGGCCAATTCATCAGCAAATTCAGTGGAAACGCCTTCTTCAGCAACTGGAGCTTTAGTGGCCAATTCATCAGTGGGTAGATCTTCTTCAGAGACTGGTGCTTTGGTGGCCAATTCATCGGCAATTTCAGTGGAAACGCCTTCTTCAGCAACTGGAGCTTTAGTGGCCAATTCATCAGTGGGTAGACCTTCTTCAGAGACTGGTGCTTTGGTGGCCAATTCATCAGAAATTTCAGTGGAAACGCCTTCTTCAGCAACAGGAGCTTTGGTGGCCAATTCATCAGCAAATTCAGTGGAAACGCCATCTTCAGCAACTGGAGCTTTAGTGGCCAATTCATCAGTGGGTAGCTCTTCTTCAGAAACTGGTGCCTTGGTGGCCAATTCATCAGAAATTTCAGTGGAAACGCCTTCTTCAGAAACTGGAGCTTTGGTGGCCAATTCATCAGTGGGTAGCTCTTCTTCAGAGACTGGTGCTTTGGTGGCCAATTCATCAGAAATTTCAGTGGAAACGCCTTCTTCAGCAACTGGAGCTTTGGTGGCCAATTCATCAGTGGGTAGAGCTTCTTCAGAGACTGGTACTTTGGTGGCCAGTTCATCAGCAATTTCAGTGGAAACGCCTTCCTCAGTAACAGGAGCTTTGGTGGCCAATTCATCAGTTGGTAGACCTTCTTCAGAGACTGGTGCTTTGGTGGCCAATTCATCTGCAATTTCAGTGGAAACCCCTTCTTCAGCAACTGGAGCTTTGGTGGCCAATTCATCAGTGGGTAGACCTTCTTCAGAGACTGGTGCTTTGGTGGCCAATTCATCTGCAATTTCAGTGGAAACGCCTTCTTCAGCAACTGGAGCTTTGGTGGCCAATTCATCAGTGGGTACACCTTCTTCAGTAACAGGAGCTTTGGTGGCCAACTCATCGGCAATTTCAGTGGAAACTCCTTCTTCAGCAACAGGAGCTTTGGTTGTGTCTTCAGCAGTAGTTTCGGCTTCCTCTTCTTCTGCCACAGGAGCTGTTGTACTGAGTTCGTCAGTAGTTTCGGCAGATTCACTAGCTTCTCCATCGACAACGGGAATCTTAGTTGATAGTTCTTCAGTAGGAACCTCGGTAGCCAATCCATCGGAGCCAATTTCTTCTTCCTCACCAGCTGGAGCTTTAGTGGCAAATTCATCTGCGGTTTCGGTAGATAATTCGGCTTCTTCACTTGTTGAGTCTAGAGTGGAAATTTCATCAGCGGTACCAGTAGATTCTGTAGATGCAACACCTTCTTCAACGGCAGGAGCCTTAGTGGCAGTTTCTTCATCAGATATTTCGGGTTGTTCGCCTTCAACAGGTTTACCAGCAGCCATAGCATCAGTGCTAGATTCGGTAGCTGAGGTGAGTTCTTCCTCGGCAGTGGAAGTAGCCTCAATTGCATGTTCTGTTGAGATTTCTTGTTCACCCACAGCAATCGGTGCCTTAGTACCTGTTTCAATTTCTTCACCTTCTTTTTCTTCTTCGGATTCTTCTGCAGACGTTGTAGCGGTTTCGGTAACATATTCATCAGCAGCAACTGGTTTAGATTCCTTGTCTTCATCTTGTTTTTCTGTAACGCCAGCAGCAGAGGTAACTTCCTCAGATGAGGTAACTTCCGTGGCATGTTCTTCCTCGACATTTGGAGTGGTCGTGGCTTCCTCTTCTTTTTCAGCGACAGACACAGCTTCAGTTGGTTTAATTTCTTCCAATGGAGTTTCAGTAACACCTTCTTGTTTCTCATCATCAATATGGGTCTGTAATTGCAAGTCTTCCTCGGGTATGGCACCATGTAGATCCTCAACGGGAGCAGATGTTGTAATCTTAACTTCATCATCTGAACCACTGCCGTACGGCAGAGTGGTGGCTTCATAAATCTGAGTGGTGGCAGTATCATCTTCGCAGGCATACTGACTGGGACAACATTCACCTTCGGCTGGTGGCATGGCATGACATTGCTTGCCATTGCCGGCCAACATGGGCATCTTACATTCTTGGACAGCACAGATAATGTCACCACGCATACAATAGCAGTTTTCACATGGATTCTTGCCTTCGATGCGAGCACCATCGGCATACAGTTCACCATTGTGGATACAGTCTGTCGATACACTGGGTGACATGGTACTGGCAAGGATAAAGCCAGTTGTGGGACGTTCAGTTGTGGTGGTGCTTGTCGTTGTGGTGGTGGTGGTAGTAGTGGTTTCAGTTGTTGTGGAAAGATCTTCCAGGCCAAGAACATCATTTTCATGGTCTGTCCAGAGACAAAAAAGAAAAAAAATAAAAACGAGGCCAAACATTATCAATCATCGATCATAGAATACCATAATGAGATTTTTTTCACTTACCGCAATTATAACGCACTGGACAACAAGAGCCCTTGTTGTAAATTGGAGTACAGCCATCAATGTGCAGGGTACATTCTTGCATCAGACATGAGGTACGATTCTTAATACAATAGCAAAGTTCACAAGGTTTATTGGGATTCGAGGGAACCTGAGCACCTTCCAAATAGAATTTGCCATCAATACTGCAACCGAATTTCTCGGGTATGCTCAATTCGGTGCCTGGTTCGGGAGCAGCATGAGAAATGCCTACGGGAACTGTACGAAAGATAGAATTGTGAGGAGGAAAATTATCATCATTATCGTAACCATAATCATTGACAATTCTCGACAACGAGAAAATAAAGCAATTTCGACGGATGGCCGAATGGACGGATCGATCTTTTGCATAGATAAATGAACTTACCTTCGGGACATGTAATGATTGGACAGCATTGATCCTCACGTTTCTCCACTATGCAATCATGTCCAATGGGTTTCGTGAACGGACATACGCGCAAATAGCACATGAGCATCTTATTGTGGCACGTACAATTCAAACAGGGCTCATTTGTCATGATTCTATCGCCTTCATTGTAATGATTATAGTTGTAGTAGCAGCCTTCTGCAAAGAAAAAAAACCAGAATAACAAAATTAGAATTTAGTAACAAATTGCTTAAAAATATATGGATGTACGGAGGAAAAGAAAGAAAGCACAAACCCAGACAAGAAGAATTGGAGATAGATAGACAGACAAGTAAGACTCTAACGGCTGCCAGGCTCAATTGGCTGTCTAAGGAGTCGAACAACCTTATTAGATCTGCGGATGCTTCGTTAGCATTTTTTTTTTTCGTTAAAGAAATGTATGTGAGTGTATCCGTCCGTACATGACCATGATTGTGGTTATGTAAATTGTTTTGTTGCCCCAAGTTGAAACTAAGTGGCCTTACTGACTTGACTGACTGACTGACTGACTGATGGTCTCGCGTCTAACCAAATTGGACTGACTGGTTAGGTCTGTGGTCAAGAATTGTTGTGCAATAGCCAACAGATCTTTGCCAATAACAGCTATAACAACATAATAATGCTAATATAAATTTCCACTCCACTCGAAGACGAAAGATTTACTTCTTGCCACCATCAACAGCAACCATCATTCAACAAATATTTGTTTGAAATATTTGTTTTTCTTATACGACTAATGGTTTTCGGTTTTTTAATATTTTATAAAAAGAAAATAAACTTAATTTTTTATTACAGGTTTGGATTGGATCGAGCTGGTGGTTTTATTGCTGTATCCAGCGAATAGCGAATTAATGTAAGAAGATTGATTTAATTATGGAATAACTTTTGATATAATCTTTATCCGGGAAATGTGATTGAATGGCGAAGCGAATTCATTGAAGGTCTCTGAAATCACGAGAGTAATGAAGTGATGAGAGCTTGTACATAAGTAAGACCAAATTGATTTATCTCTGTGGAATCCATTTAAAGTTCTGTTTTTATATCCTTCACCTTGAAAAGGAGGATATATTAACTTTGTCATTGCGTTTGTATCATCCCTAAATATTCGTCGTAGATCCCATAAAGTATACATCTTGAGATGAAAAAACTGCAACCAACTTCAGACTGCTGTCATTTCAAAACCCCTCGTCCGACAGCTGGTAAAATTATTTCAGTGATAGCTCATTATATTGTTTACAAGCGTACAAAAACATTTTGCTGAGAATTTTCCAGAAAAAAAGTAATTCGTTATGGAATTCAAGTGTGATTTCTTTATAGTTGGCTGGAAAACCACAAGTGGCTATCGTTTGAGCCCTCCAGCATTTAAATGTGAATAAATCTTTTGTGTCTCGTACCACCTCGCTCGTTACCGCGATACTGGTAATATAGCCCGACGTCAAGGAAGTGGACGGAAGAAAACAGCAACATCAGCAGAAGTGATTCCAAAAATAAAGAAGCGATTTGATCGAAGCCCGCGTTGCAGTTGCCGAAAAATGGCTCGTGAGCTGAACATATCGCAATATTCCATTCGGCAAATATTGAAAAAATGAGCTCGGGATAAAACCATTGAAATTCCAAAAAGTGCCAAAACTTACACCGCAACAGAAAGAAAATAGACTCAAAAGAGCTAAAGACTTGCTTCGCTTGGCCGAAAGTTGTGAACTGCTGAATTTGGTTTTCTCCGATGAGAAAACATTCGTTGTCCAGCAGTTTGGAAACAAACAAAATGATCGTGTTCACTTGCCAAAAAGGTCGGCTGAAAAATTGCACCTTCGGTTGGACACCAGAACTCAAGCACCGGTCATGGTGATGGTGTGGGCCGCCATAACAGCCGATTAATCGGCCGTGGCATCAAAATAAATGCCGAATATTATTGCGAAAGTATTCTGGAGAATGTATTAAAGCCTTGGGCACGCAAACATTTTGGCAGCAGACCTTGGACATTCCAACAGGACTCAGCACCATCGCACTCAGCACTCACCACCCAAGAATGTTTTCAAAATGAGGTTCCTAGCTTCATTTCCAGGACACAATGACCCCCAAAATCTCCGGATACCAAACCGTTGGACTATTGTGTCTGGAGTATTTTGGAAAATACCAAAGTGTAGAAAATACCAAAGTGTAGCACTTCGCTGGGAATGGGCCAAAATACCGCAGAGCAACATTCGGGCAGCGTGTGATGGTTTCATTGGCCATTTAAAGGCCATAATTCGTGCCAAAGGTGACCATTTCGAACAAATCAAAACTTATTCTAAAATTTTAATGTATTTCCGACATTATTTGCTCACATTCAATAAAATGAAGAAAAAATGTAAAAATTATGGCGTTTGACTTTGTTGCAGTTTTTTTTATATCATCCTGTATTTCTTTAATACGCTTAAACATAGTTGCCCGAAATAACTAATATGTATACTCAGCTACCTAATAAACTATCTTACAATTTTGTACACTCTAATTTATTCGTCGCCTGATTTATTTATTTCATTTTTTTTTTGTTAAAATTCTCTAGCAAAATTTATACATTTATTATTTATTATTAAACAAGAGAAAATTTTGCAATTCGTTTGGAGGAGGAAAAAAAAATTGTTAACAATAGTAGGTTTAAAGCTTCATCTCATCTTCATGGTTCCATCATGCAAAGGTTAAGTTTGAATGATAAGTGTGGTAGACTACATTGTTTGAGTTTAGACACATTATTGCTGGGTGTGTAAGCGTGAGTGGTGTAAACCTACTTACATAATGTAAAGGTAGTATAAATGTATCTGTGTAATGGCATTAGACTTTTTTCTATCTTTGGGAGATGTTTGTATAATAAAAATGATCCACTTTTCCAGCATACATTCTTGTTCGTATTATGTCTGTGTGTATTCGACTCTCACACATTTAACCTTAATTTGTTATTAAAGAGCACACACCACAGACATCATAGAATTATGTACCTAGATAGGTATGAATATGTATTTTATTGCGATTACCTTGAAATAAGAGCGCGTGTTAATTATAAAAGAATGTATAAGAATCTTACAAAATATGGAAGGCTAATGAAGGTAATATGCGTAATGTAGCCTTAAAAGCATTGCCATCTCCGTTGGCATTAAGCAAGTTTGACATGGCATTAAGGTAGGGATCTAAGTTTTAGGGAGAGATATATGCGTAGTGAAAAACAGAAAGTCATGTCTCCTTGTTAGGACATTTGACGAATAAATAGTGTTTACCAAATGTTGTCTTTTAGGATTTTTTTATTTATTTATTTTCGTACTAAAGCGAAAAATTTACTGAGTAAATTTCGCTGGAAGAGAAAAAAGGCATATCTAATGATAGAAGACTCTACCGTGATATAGTGGCTACAATAAAAAGCATGGTTCGAGAATATAGGGAGATGCATCAACGCTTTAAAAATTTTTCAAAAAAAAATTAAAATGTTTTCAAAAATAAGTAGATTTTTATAGGTTTTCTTATACGAAGCCAATCGGTGCATTTTTCAACAATTTTAACGAATTTGAATAATTTTGCATTAAAAATTAGTTTGACAGTTCATCGTTTCTCAGTCGATGCTACTACCTGTATTCTTCTTCTACCAAAAACGATTTAAAGATTCCTATGTTTTGCAAGCCTCTTGTGTGGTTTCATGGTAGTTATGATATGCATTTGTCAGCAATTTTAACGAATTTGAATAATTTTTCATTCAAAATTTTCAACTTCAAAATTGGTTTGACAGTTCAATGTTTCTCAGTCGATGCGACTACCTGTATTCTTCTTCTACCAAAAACGATTTAAAGATCCCTATTTCTTTTTGTAACTCTCTTGTGTGGTTTCATAGTAAGTTTAAAATCATGGCTCAATTATAAGGTTTTCCTTCCAGCGAATTAATCTAAAAACAGTTGTTATTTTATCAGATGAAATGTCAAAATTCATGCTTGAGGCGCAAATAAATATTTTCGCTTTGACAGAAGAACTTTGTGGCGAATGCAGCTCTACTGCATTGTAGAAGAATACAGGTAGATGCATCAACGCTTGAAAACATTGATATGTTCAAATTTTTTATTTTTTTTTTCAAAACAAGTACATTTTTATAAGTTTTCTTATACGACACCAATCGGAGGTTGTTATGATATGCAGTTTTCAAAAATTTTCAGAAATTTGAATAATTTTTCATTTAAAAATTTCAATTTTAACATCGGTTTGGCAGTTCATTGTCCCAGCAGCTAAGCGATGCCACTACCTGTATTCTGTATTCTTCTTCTATCATAATGGTTATGATATGCATTTGTCAAAAATTTTAAAGAATTTGAATAATTTTTCATTCAATATTTTCAATTTCAAAATTGGTTTGACAGTTCTCTCAGTCGATGCGACTGACTACCTGTATTCTTCTTCTAACAAAAACGATTTAAAGATCCCTATTTTTGGTTTTGTAGCTCTCTTGTGTGGTTTCATGGTGAGATTAAAGCTATTCATTCTCAGCCTGTCAAATTACACGACAAAGAAAGCAGGTATCCATATCTGATTTGTGTGTATACAATGGATTTAAAAATAGAAATTTTGACAGAGGGATGTTGTAAAATGTATAATTTTTAAAAAAATTGTAAACATATGATTGAATGACTTTAACTTTTTCTTTTTCAACGCATGGGCTGACACCACAACTGATCATATAGATTAGTTGTCAAAACACTTATTGTGAATGGATTCACAGTATTAAAGATACATAACTTTTTCAAGCCAGCTGATTACCAAATCTAATGTCAAAATACATTATTGTGATTGAAATTACATAAACAATTAGACAACAAAGTGTAAACCAATTTTGATATTATATCTGGTTTTAGAAAATTTTCAAGAACACCTCATTATTCCGCCTTGGTTCAAAGCTTTTGAAAAAAAAAAAAAACTGAAAAGTTCGGGCCTATCTTTTAAACACATAAAATACACCATATTCATGTGAGTAATTTTAAATTTTATATTTATTTTCCGCAATACATTGACTAATTAATTTTTGAAACCCCAGCTTAATTGCTTAATCTTATCACTTATCAATTTATGTTTTAGTAATTATTTCCTAGTAGTTTTTTTTATCTCATATAAATGTTCTATTCCCAAAGAACATAAAAGAAACGTTG